ATTGATTATGCCGGTCCTGTAATTTTGAAATGTTACAAAGGTCGTTGCTTTAAGACCACTAAAGGTTATATAGTTTTGTTTGTATGTCTAGCTACCAAAGCTTACCATATTGAGATAGTTAGCGACTTAACTGCAGATTCTTTCATTGCTGCTCTTATGCTATTTGTATCAAGGCGTGGTACACCTCGATACTTATTTTCAGATAATGGTACGAACTTTGCTGGGGCAAAAAGAAAATTGTCTGAATTGCACACTCTGCTACTTTCACTTAACAGCAATGAATTAATTTTAAATTATTTGACTCAAAATACTACGGAGTGGAAAATGATTCCACCTGCTTTTCCCCACTTTGGTGGTTTGTGAGAGTCGGGGATCAAGTCCATAAAATTTCATTTGAAAAGAATGATAGAAGAGACAAAGTTAACATTTGAGGAATTAAGTACTTTACTAACTCGAATTGAAGCTGTGTTAAATTCACACCCCTTATCTAAAACTAATCACAATGATGTAGCTAATTTAGATGCTTTGACTCCATCACAATTTTTAACTGGGGATGTTATTACTAGCATTCCAGAACAGGAGTTTTCTAATATTCCCAAACCCACTTTATTAAACGGGCATTATTACAGCACATGAAACAAGGCTTTTGGAAGAGATATTATAAGAAGTATTTAAATTCCTTACAACAAAGATACAAATGGAAGGAACAACTTCCAAATTTGTCTGTAGGTGGTATTGTATTAATTAAGGAGGACAGCATGCCTCCTGGTGTTTGGCCTTTAGGTCGCATTGTTGAAATCCATCCTGGAAAGGATGGCAATGTTAGAGTTGTTACAGTAAAAACTGTTAATGGTTATTTTAAAAGGCCTGTAGTAAAACTTTTACCATTGCCATTGCATCGGGAATGATCTATTGTTAATGCAATGGCAAGGGTGGGAGTTAATGTTGGATACATATTTAATATTTGCATTTCTTTTTTTCTTTGTATATTTTATTTTCCCACTGTTTAATTTTATGTTGTGATTTACAATAATCTTGTTACTGGCAACATGCTTTATTTTACTATTGAGTTTGTGTGAATGGCAACAGTTGTTCATGTTTATGTTTCAGTAGAATAGCGTTTTTAGCCGCACTGCGCTGCAGGCAATTTTTCTTAAAGAATTTCATGTTTTAGAATATCAATAAAGTTTTTATACAAAGCTGATGCTTTTTAGTTCAAGGCGTTCAACACTGGACGCTTATTCTATGATCACTGGATCTGTCTACAACTTAAGCGAACAATATTGACTCAAAAAAACCGGTATAGACAGCCATCACAACTTATCGGAGAAAGCCATTCTGTGGTCCTCAGTTGGTGGGCGGGTGGGTCCATTTAACTTTACTGGAAGGGGACAAGGCTTCAAGGAGCTTTAGACCAATCGCAGTACAGACCGAGTGACGAAATTTATAGCGCGCGCTGGCTGAAGTTCTAGGAATATTCTCCTATTATTTCACTAACTCACACGCTGCATTTGTAGTTCAAAAAAATTGCACAAAACAGTATTATGACCAATACATGCTGAATATGCTGCTGTGTTATGTGAAAGAAAATCTCGTTTTTTAATGGGAAAGTTAACGCAGGAATTTAGAGCTAAAAAATAAAGAGTGATATGGGATACCACGAAAGCAATGTGGTAAATAGATAAGAGTAAATGAATTAAGATTACTTCAAATCCTTTTAGAAATAAACAATTTTAATTATTTAAATTTATAATATGATTAATTTGCATTACAATCTAATAGCAAACTAAGTTTTTTTTTTTTTTTCCATGTTTACATTAAAACTGTTTTCCCGCAATTTATTTTACAGTTACTATTTGAAAAATATTTCTTTAAATAAGAAATTAGAAAGAAAATATTTCTTTCTTAATATTTCTTCCCTTTTTTATTTTCTTTTTCTATGAAAATTATTTCTTTCAGGAAAAGAAATAAAATTCATTCGCTATTACAGTATGGCCGATTGCTGCTGCATTCAAGTTATCACACACGCATCAAAATGCTTTATTTTAAATAATTTATTCTATAATTAACATGAAAGAAAATATTTTTTCAATATAAATATATAACCAAAATTAAACTAATCTATCCTGTATGTGTGATTAATTCGTTTTGCAATTTTTGTCACACAATTACTAATACCTTTTTTTCAATATTACATTGCTGTTATTTTAATTTTTATATATATATAAGAACTGCTCAGTTTAAATATTCTTCCTTCTCAAAAGATTTTGTTCTGTGAAAATAATTAAAAGATAGTAATATTTTCACAATGCAAAGTACTAAAGTAAAAATAATCAGTGTAGGTCTCCTGCAGTTGAAGTCCTTGTCAAACCAGCGTTTCGACACATTTTAAATAGAAAACTAATAATAATCAATATCTCTTTTACAATATAAAAATGAGAATGCTATGAACAGTATTTTTATTATTTATTTATTTATTTATTTTTTTAAGTTTGCAAAGAAACAATGATTTTTTAATACTATAATAGGTTACAAAAGTACTATTCCATGAACAAACCCTCAGTCTTATAGCATTGTTACTTTATAGCATAATACAATAATAATACAGTATAATTCTGCTAACAAGCCCACCAGCCGCCGAGCGGTAGAGTCGCTGAACGCAGGTAGTTTGGTCCGAGGTTCGAATCCCGCGAACGAGCTGGCCGGCGTTTTCGTGGCTTTCCCCATGTGTAACGTGTATACGAGCCAGTTTCCCTTAGAAAGTCCTCACTTAGAAACCAGTTTTAAAACGTAATAAAATTACACACACACACACACAAAAAAAAAAAAAAAAAAAAAAAAAAAAAAAAAATCTGAAAGCCTTCAGATTTTATATTACTCCCAAAGGGCCATTTTTTTAACGTTTTGCGTGTTACCTTTATTTATTAAATATCATGTTTTTCGCACTTAAACCATAAAATTCAATTCAACAGCAATATCATATAATTTAAAAAAAAGCATATCTTTAGAATTTCCGATACATAGTCTCGCGCGCTAGAGATGAAAATGTTTTTTTGTACATGTTGCATTGCTCGCTTTGAAATCGTTGGGTTTCTTAATCAAAAACTCATAAATGCTTTACAAAATATGAATATGAAATGGATATAAAACAAATTCCCAGTTCCAAATTTGGGCCTCCAGATGCCTACTATTAGGATGGAGGATTACGTTATTCAGAATTTCATGGCTCTAGGTACCGTTGTTTTATCACAGTGCGAGAAACATTCATACATTCTGCAGATTCCTCATTATTTAATTTCTTTAAATATAATAGAGTGCGATAATACTTGGTGGCAACGATTTGAAAAGTGAAACGCCATTTATCGTGAAACGCCACAAAATGGCAAAACGAAATTAATAGCCCCTCTGGGCTAAAACTTATTTTTAAAAGTATCACACTAGTAGTAGTACAGCTACTGAAAAAAATATTATAAAGCTATTTTATAGTTTTATAATTATTATTTTTTTTAATTTTTATTTTACAGTAGTGTGAATTTCGCGTAATAATGAACGACATTTTTGTGTTCACAGTATTATTCGTAAGGTATTCAACTGTTAGATTTTAAAGTAAACGTAATTCTTGCTGTACATAAATCGAGTAGAAGCTTATCGGATGTCTATATTTGTATTAAATGAAGAAGGTTTATGTGCTTGATAAACTTATTATCTTCTACATTTTTAAAGCATACAATTACAATTTATATCTATAATTTCAGGAATAGTATAACCTTTCTTTCAGTAGAAATTGCGTTCTTGTTTTCTGAATGTGGCTCCAAATACTCAGTTCATCGCAAATTAAAATAACTATAAATTTTGGGCAATCTGAAATATGCAATGAAAACATCTTTGGCAGAGCAAAAGCATCAACATATTTTCTATAAATTCGCCACCGATTCAGAGATCTACGACCGTATTCTTCGTTTAAATATGAAAAAATCAGCGGCGAAAACACATACAAAGCCATTGTCTACTTAGTACGTCAACTGGACAACCCTGATTGACGACGCGGCAACATTTTTTCACGCGCTTTCGACAACTTCCGTACTCAGAGAATATAGGATGTCGGGCAGACCTGTTTTTTACTAGCAGCGACATCTGGCGGCCCACAACTTGCTGTCGACTCTCGTAGCGTAGAATAACCGTCCTGGTTCGTTGGAGCGAAAAGCGGCAACGCGGAAAAAAAACAATGGATAAGTATTTCTTTCTACGTAATAAACTCAGTTTTTCATGTCAAAAATTGATTTGATTTCTTGGTGTTTAATATCATTGGTTGCAGAGAAATTAGTTCTTTAATTTGGCATGGCTTTCGTTTCTCTAACTTTAATTGCATTTCAGTTATGAGCTTTAATTAGTAGTTTTTTCCTCGTTTGCTTGTGATTTAGTTAAAGGGGGCATGAAATGCCTTCTTTCCGGTTGAAAAGTCACTTTTTGCGAGTTTTCAGCGTTCTTTCGTTGGGACCCTTGCAGGGTTGTTGAAATTCCTAATTTCCCCTGTCACAGGTGGGTTTTTTTTGGCGAGGGTTTGGCGACATAGAATTTTCCGTTGAGGTTTCAAAGTAGATTTGGGAATTTTTGAATTTAGTTTATTAAACATTTCATTTTTTTGAATTTTATGTTTGAGTTTGATAACATGAGGGTATGCAGATGTTTTTATTTTATGTTGTTGCAACTATTTTAACTTTTCGGCGAAGAGTGGGTTGTGCCAACTTGGCAGTCCGGCGTCCTCCCTTTTAACGGGATGTTTTGAGGGACAAGGTCACTTTTTTTTTGCACTTTTGACTTACCATCGGACACTGTACTCGCTGGCAGCTGAATTTTATTTTGGAAAATGCATTTTTCCGCCTTTGGATCTACGGGCTTCTTGCCCTTGAGTTTGAACGAGGGACTTAGTTTATACGCATCATGACCTCGACTAAATTATAGTCTCATCAGTTTTTTTTTTTTTTGTACTTGAATATGTAAGTTACTCAAAGATAATTAAAATAGAAAAATGCAACGAAGGGTGATGCCTAGTACTGGTGCCGTTAAGAAGAAATTTTAGTCTCTCCTCCATGAATAGAGTTTTCATCTGCCTCGATGTTTCACGTCTTTAAGAATTATTTTCCGCCCTGCAAGAGTCTCCGGCATCGCTAGCTCCGGGGTCGCTACTACATAATGCTTCACTTAACTGAAACCACGGCTAACTCCAATATTGGATTGGAAATCAACGAGAACCTCCTTAGTGCATCCTAAATCAATAAGTAACTTCTGGACTCTATTGAAAATTCATCTGTAACTTCTGGACTCTATTGAAAATTCATCTACCTATGAACTCTTCTCATTTTCTACTACGCTCAGCAGCCGTCCTCCTTGGCATCTTGATAATTTTTTAAATATGAGGGCATTTCTCCTCCTCCTGTTCACTTGCAGCCTGTGACTCCGCAGATAAGTTTTTTTATTTGTTTTCTTTTATTTGTTGGTCTGATGTAAAAAAAAAAAAATTTAAAAAAAATTCTAATTGTAAATTATAATAGTAATTTCTAATAGTAATTCTAACAACTATAATAGTTAATAGTGATTGAAATAACTTAATTAGTTGAATTAAAATATTGTAGTTGAGTAAATTAACCTAATTCTAATGAAATCATTTTGTTTATCCATAAAGTAAATTATTAGATTGGCTAAGGAAATATTTCCTTATTTAAATTATTTAATTTAAACAGTGAATGTAACTTAGTTAGATTGGTTAAGGAAATATATTCTTCATTAAATTATTTAATTGAACTTGTGAATTTCTTTCATGGTGAAGATTGATTGGTAAAGGTGTCATTATTTGAGCTTCTTTGCTCCTCTTAGGGACTAAATTGCTTGTAGGATGTAATAGCCTGATTTTAATTAACATATTACCCGGTTAAATCATTCTTTTGAAAATAGAAAGTTACTATGTGCAATAACCTGAATTACATTGGTATTGATTATTCTGAGTTAAATTGCTTGTAGGATGTAATAGCCTGATTTCAATTAACATATTACCCGGTTAAATCATTCTTTTGAAAATAGAAAGTTACTATGTGCAATAACCTGAATTACCTTGGTATTGATTACTCTGTGTGAAATGTTTTTTTTTAAAGTATAACTTGTTAATTATTATTTTTTTTTCCTCCCCGGGGAGGGTATTGTTAATTTATCCAAGGTTTTATCTGATCATGTTTACCTGAATGTAATAGAAATAATAGTTTGATATTATTGAGTCTAAGATAGAAGTAATATTACTCTGTAGGGTTATGCATTTGTAGAAAGCAATATTTTACAGTTCAGCTTGAATATAATTGCTTACTAAGTTAATTCTGCATTGTGTAATTATCAATATGTTACAGTTCTGATTGAATATAAATTGCCTACAAATTATGGATTAAATAATTCTTGAAGAATTTAATAAATAGGCTCACTTTTCTAGATCAATCAATGTTTATTTATTTCTTTTTGTGTGTATGCTCATGATTTTCACCCGTCTCATTCTCAAATTGATTTCAGGGTTAATCCGAAAACACAACGCAAATGTACAGGGCTTATTGATATTAGTATATTACTGTTGTTGAAAAATTTTAAGTGTTTTGTCAACAGAGTAGGAAACCTTTTAGGTACCAGACCTTTAGGAAGCCATAACATTTTAGGTGCCTTGACTCTAGTACAGAACACGATTAAAACTTATTTGACTTCTTTGTGTAAGAGAAGCAGAATGCTGTGGTTTATATTAATATGTGAGAGATGATAGCAGCAAGGAGATGCAAATAAAGAAATGCGCTTGAACGAAACGAAATTTCTTTTAATTACTTTCGCATGACACCTCATCAATTCGATGAATTTATAGCTCTCATTGAACTATTTATTCAAAAGCAGTACACTAATTTTTGTCATATTATCACAGAAAAGAATCGTTTGGAAGATAGTAATGGGATATCCTAGAGAAGGATCGTTGTATTATATATCTAATTTAATTTATTTATGAATTTTGTTGAATGATAATTAAAAAATCATAATTGCATGATTCTATTTTGGAGAGTAAATTTTTCACGGGGTTAGAATACCATAAATGTTTTTGCATGATGTATGAACTTCCCTTAATTGGTTTAAATAATGCAATAAAAAGTATATTTTGTTTAAATATATGTAGGATTAACAGCATTACTAAATTAAATATCACACTTAAAAAAGCAGTTATTTTTAAATTAATAAACAACGGCAATTTTAAAAAAATGTTTTAGTTTCTGCCTTATGTACATATTTTTTTACCTTAAATGTAACAGTAATTACTTCAATTAGTCAATCATATATTAATGAACAGCCACTATCTAATAGTTTATTTTATAAGGTCACTTTTATCTAAAACTCATTGAAGTAACAAGGCCTGCGCCAAGCCTAATCGGCGCCGTCGTGCAAATGTCTAGCGAGCGCCTTTATCCGCGATTCAATTCACCTATAGGTGGCGCTTTCACACTTTAATGTGGCGGATAAAAACCGGTATTTTGATTTGTGATCTGACTTCGTACATTCAAAAATGGAGTTGCTTACCTTTTCCGAAATGTTTGATTTTGTTCAAGGAGGTGTAAATTCACGCTGTGTTACTGAAGCAGAGAGAATTTTAAAAAGCGGATTATTTGGTAATGCACGGAATTTTACTTGAAAAGTCCAATTTACAAATTTTGGCTTCCTATTTAAGAATAAGTTGTATAGCGTCCTGATCGCGTGAAATCGAAGGACATTTCATCGTTAAAAAGGAATATTTTTTGTTCATGTAAACGAGGAACTGCTGGCTGTTGTAGGAAATTGTGCCACTGTTTTATTGTATTGTGACAGGTAGCTGATTTTAACGTTCACTGATTGTAAACAAATGATTTCATATTTGTTTATATTATTTCATATTTATTAGTATTCAGTGTTTAACTTGAGATAACTAACAGAAAATCTGTGCAGTCAAAAGTGTCTTTTTTTTTCCATAAAAATTATATTGAGTCATTATATATAAAAAATATATTGATCTATTATATTCGTCTATTGTATTTATATCTATTTATATACATAATAGCACTAATTATCAGATGCAATTTTGAGAATATGAACAAGCAAAACACTTAGAAATGAAAAAAGGCACTTGTAATAGAAATATTAGTATTCTATATGTATTATAGAAATACCATGACCAAACATTTAAAAAAAAAAAAAAAAAAAGATTAAGTATTACCTACTCCTCAGTACTTGAGAAAGCAGTCCTGGCATTATTACATGTAGTTAACTTTTGATTACATGATATTACAAGCATTTTCTTTAGATTTGTCCTATAAGTGGTTAAAACGACTGAACACATAATTCCCACAACAATAAAAAATAAAATAAACATTTAATTACTTTTCGATCACAACACGTTTCACAAACTACGTAGTATTGTCAAACGTAAATACCGATTTTTAATGTTTCCACCTTTTAGCCACTAGATGGCGTATCAGAGCGCTGGAATCGAGGATATAATGACGGTATTAAAGGGACATTACTTATGGTTAACACTTAAAATGAAGCATTATTAACATAATAATATATAAAGAGGGCGCCGTAGACGCGTTCGACAAATTGTTTAGTTCTTATTTTGCGTCTACTGTTGCATTCGTAATAATTTGTGCAACATTTATTTTTTTTTTTTTTTTTTTTATTTGATGATTGCTTGTTGTTATTGTTATTCTACATAAAAAAAAAAAAGGTAAATGCAGTTACATATTTTGTTAAACTTAGGTTAGCTTTTTCATTCAGAAAACCGACGAATTGAGCATAATTACTCAAAAAATGTTTTTTTTTTTACATGAACCATTTGTTTATTAAATTAAAAATTATTATCTTTCGTGAAGAAAGGATTGTTATATTTACGGAGTACCGCTGAATTTAAAATATACCTATTTGAGATCTGAAGTAATAATAAAAGGTAAAATAAAAAATGGCCATTTCTGATTTTTAGCTATACGGAAAACCGAAGGAAAATGTTTTTATTTTATTACGTCTTAAATACATATTTAAATTTGAATTTTTTTTAATAAAACAGAGTAAACCAACAATCCTACAAAATTAAATTATTCGGTATTGATCTAATATTTAAATATATATTTCAAGCAAAATGGTTTAAGACATACACATCTTCTTCTTCTTTTTTTTTTTTTCAGGAGTAAAGCAAAATATTTCATACAGTGACTTTCCAAGTGTTTTACGCAATATCTCTTATAATAATTACTATTTTATTTTTACTTCCACTTTTTCTGCTTTCATTTTAGACCCAAAAACAAGAAAAATGTCTAAGTACAAGAAAAAAGAAAGAAGAGGAAGAAAACCAGAAACTTTTACTCAGAAAAACTCCCAAAGAATACCCAAGCTGACACTACTAGAATTAGTTGTTCATCAACGTCTCAGCTACCACTGAAATTAGCAAAAGAACCTAATAATCAGTAACAGTGTTTTCATGCACGAATTACCTTGAACTTCAAGGCAGCCGGTCGAATAAAACAGAAGAAATAGTATTGAAATCTACAACTTCTGCATTAGATATGCATTAGATTCCAATCTAATAGAGATGTTTCCGACAATTTTAAGTCGGTTCAGGTGGGGAAATATCGGAGTTGTTGCAGACATCAAGCAAGCATTCTTGCAGATAAGCCTACACGAAAACGATGGAGATTTTTTAAGGTTTATGTGGTGGAAAGGTGAGATCCAACAGTTTAATCACTTACAGCCATTGCAGAGTCGTATTCGGTATTTCAAGCAGCCCCTTTTCACTTACAACTGTTTTGAATTATGTTCTGGATCAAGTAGAAGAGCCTTTGAAAGGACTTGCAATGAAACTGAAAGATTCATTTTATGTGAATATTGTGTTGCAAGTATTGACTCTGTTGCTGACTTAAAATATTTCAAAAGAGAGTCTCATAAAATTCTAAAAGCAGTTAAATTTGACTTCCGCGGATGGAGAAGTACTTATCTTCCTGAGATACAAGATTCCTTTAGAGATAGCTCAACTTATGTAGATGAAAACGATGTATTGGTTTTAGGTCGCATATGAGAAATTAGGAATGACACCCTGTCATGCCAATTAATAGAAATTGAGAAGAACAATGAACCAATTACTAAACGAAATATTTTGTCTAAAGCACATCAATTATTTGATCCCACAGGTTTCGCTTGCCCGATAACGTTAATTCCTAAACTGCTTCTTCAGGAATGCTGGAAGTTGGGAATCTCATGGGATTCTAAATAACGGAAGATTTAATTAAAAGATCTGAGAAATGGAAAGCTCAGTTACCAGAAATTAAAAACCTCAAGATACCGCGCAGACTATGTGATTTAGACCTTAGTGAATGCACTGTATGCATTACACACTGTATACATTTTGTGACGCATATGAGACTTGTATTTTTCTTAGGGCTTAAATGGAGGGAAAAGTAACTTGTCAGTTAATACAAGCTAGATCAAGAATTGCTCCTTTGAAAAGATTATCGATTCCGAAGATGGAATTGCTAGCATGTCTTATGGCGGATAGATTAGCCAGTGCAGTGAAGAAAGGTTTGAAGTTAGAAAATATGAAGTCAGTCTACTGGTCCGATTCTATGGACGTAGGATCCAAAGAGAAGGCCCATGGCAAACGTTTGTATCAGTGTAAATGATAATGTCAGAATCCAACGAATGGAAGTTTGTTCCTGGAACTCAAAATTCTGCAGACATATCATTAATAGGTTGCTCAGTAAAAGCCTTACTAAAGCAATAATGGAACGAAGGACCTCCATGGCTTAGAGATTCTAAAGATAAATGGCCGGATTAAGATCTGTCACTTGACGAAGATGTGGTAAATACAGAAAAGAAGAAAACTATAGTGTCTCACATGAATCAGAGTAATAACCACATATCATTCTATAAGAAAATAATTAGAATTACTAGTTGGATATATGGGTTTTATAGGAATTCTAAGACACCTATCAAAATTTCAGGAGAACTATCTGCTCTTCCTACTACTTGAAGTTCGTGTAAAACAGAGTTTCTTAAACTATTACAATTACCAAATATTTTTACACAGTGTATCTGAAAATAGATAAAGATAACTCAATACATGCAAAGAAAAAACGAAAACGTTTCGACGGATTTTTTTTATAACATAAACGTTCATTTTACTTGCTTTGCGCATGACGCTGTTACTTCTTCTGTTACTTATTTAAAAATTTCACATTGTTCTATGCCTTAAAATTAGAAATTAAAGTTAATGAACTAAAACTGCAATAGTATATTACCAGGGATTGCAATGTCAGACCAAAAGTTCAATACCACTATTCCGTATTTTTTAGGTAGTAGGAATTTTAGAAAAAGAAAGAAAACACGGTTTTTTGTTTTATTTGCCAGTTTTATTAGAGAGTAAATATCACAAAAAATCATTTGTAACTTATAAATTATAACAGTATATAAAGAATTACAAAAAAGTAAAGAAACAAGGAACATCTTATGTATTTAAGCCGCAAAAAAGTGTAAATGTCACTATTAAGTCTGTGGTGCTATTACAAAATTTTGAAATGTGATCATAAAAAACATAATGCATCAAATGTACTGTCATTAAGCCTGGAACATAATTTTGGGCAAAAATTACCAGCTGTCGAAAACGCTCTTTCAACATCTACGTTAGTTGCTGGTACTGTTAGCAATGCGCGATATACTTTTCACAAGTGTTTATCTCTAAATGCCTCATCTTTAAATAAATCGATTTCTCGTCGGATGGTTTTTAGGGTAGGGTACGAACTGCGAGAAATTTGATCGAAGTCCCCTTCTTATCTAATCCACGAACTGCGCGACGTTTCCTGTATCCTCTTTCTTTACTAAGAAGACTAGGTGCTACAAAATGTCATTTATCGCCATCAATGGGACATTTTATTGAGACTGCAAGTCTCTATTTTCGTTTATCAGTATTGTAAAAATCGTGCATACAAAACAAATATTAATTTAAGTCTGGCGTGTGCTAAAGTAAAAATGAATTTCTTTTACACTCTTTTTAAAGTTTTATGATGCTGAAAAGAATGATGAGCCAGATCTTTTTTATTATCTGTAAGAATTAAAAACTTTCCAAGTTGTAGATTTTAGTCGCTTATATATAATATATATATATATAATTTAAAGTAAATTTAAAAAAAATTTAAAATTGTTTAATAATACGCATAAAAGTAACAAAGCAAATTTAAATTCTAAAAAAAGAAAAAGCCAAATACTTTAAAATAATTTAAAAATATGCAAACATGTAAAAGATTTAATTCTCGAACTAATCTACATCATTTAATCCAGAAGCTAGCAATCAAGTGCAAAATCTATCCATGAAAACAAATCTACTAATTTAATAATTAAAACCAATTAAACAATTTTTTTTTTTAAAAATGCATATGTGAATGATGTAGAGTAGGCAGGAGACAGACTTATCAAGGGGAAGCTGCCTCCAAACCCTAACTCTCCAATCATTCAATTCGTGTTTTCGTCACTCATGCAGGCAAGGGTAAAAGTCAAAACCAAAAGGAATTCCAATAAGTGGTATCCTTAGAAATTTACATTTAAGTATAACATTTAAGAATTAAGTTCAAAAAGGAAAATACTAATTAAATCTTTTGAAAACAGCAAGTAAAGTCAAGAATTAAACTTTTTTCTTAAAAATTAAATTTTTTAAATTAATTTTTTATAAAATAATAAAAAATCTAGAAACCACTGTATTTTAGAAATCCTTGTCCTACAGAAACTTCCCTACACGAATATGCATCAATAAAAAGAAACATAAAAGAACTATACATAATCCATATAAACCAATAAGAAAAAGAAACAAAAGAACTAATTCACAATTTTTAAAATAAATATATATTTAAAAATATAATTTCATATTTAGAAAATACTTAGATACTACATAAAAAATTAAAAAAAAAATACTTAAAGCAAGCAAATAGTAAGTTTCAATTCCAACTTACCTACTATATGAGTGTTGGGGTACGCAAAAGTGTTGTGAAAGAGAAGTAAGTGTGTTCCTCAAATTATATAGAGGCGCTCACGTAGGTAAAGCTGAGTGTCAAGCTGCCATTCCTGTTATAGTAAAAAATCTTTTGTAATATTAATATTAATAAATTAATTAAAAGTTAAAAATCCTAAAGGTAGTAATATCATTATTTAGGGAGTTAAGTAACTGAGCTAATCAGAGATGTATGTTTGCTTTGAAGGAAATTAAAGTGAAGTGGTATGTGAAAAAAATGTAAACTGTTTGTAATTTGAAATGTGTGTTCTGTTGAAAAATTGTGAAAATTGTTTTAAAAAATTAAGTGAAAGATATTTTTTTGTGAAAATTGCAAAAAATTAAGGTAATTAAGAAAAATGAAATGTTTTAATATTAAAGTTTTTAAAAACTAAAATTTCCCAAAATTTTTTGAAAATGAGTCCTTAAAAAACCTCTAAAAATTCTCAGAAATTTCTCAAAAATTCCTTTAGGAAGTTAAATAAAACTTAAATTTGATGAAAGAAAATATTAAAAGTTTAATGAACTTGATTTAATTGGTATATCAACATTTTCAAATACATGATTTCAAAAAAATTAATATTCAAATTTTGGAAATTGTACCTGAATACAAAGTTAGATTATTTCAAGAGTCACTCTACATGCTTAAATTCAAAACACTTTAACCTTATGGACTCAATACATTCAACCAAACCCATTAAATTAATTCTGAAATTCCAGCTTACAGCCATTTTTAAATTATTCAGTAAAAAAACATTACGAGGAACCAGAGCAGGTACTAAACATAAAAAAAAACTTCTTTCAACATAGATACAAAAAAGTTAAACGATAATATAAATAATACTTTCTTACTGATAATTTCACTAAAATATAATTTACTTGGTTGCATACTTGTAAGCACAATTTCTTAAATTACTAAAAAATTGTAAAACAGCATTTTTTACAGGGCAACAATATTATCAAAAGACCTTATTATGACTTTTGCAATTATAAGTTCTCTACAAATAACAAATACAATAAATATTACTGCAAATCAATTTCCTTCATCCAACTATGATCATATTCAGTTTAGCAAAATTTTCAGAAAAGTCAACAACTTTTTCCAGCTACCAAAGTACAGATTCTCACCAGCTTTCAAGTATCCAAAAACAAAAACCTCTTAGTTAATTGCTAATTAACCACCATGAATTAGCTAACAGCCCCATTGATACTGTAAAGAGCTTCAATACAAAGATTTCATAGATAAATTTCATCAACATATTATAACAGGCAATTAGCAATAGTTCAAAACCAACATTTAAGAATTTTAATGGAAAAAGGAACCAAATTTAGACCAGTACTAAAAATTAACAAACATCACAGTTTTAAAAGTTTCGTAAAAAATATAGACGAATTTATAGTTAAAACTAGTTTCAAATTAAATATTCCAATTCTACCTTTATGGCATGGAAACATGCAGTATTAGAAGAATTCAAAGCAAAAAATTCGAAGAATTGAATTAATAAGCCATTTACAGTGGAATATTCTCATACCTCTTTTACAGGATTTAAACAAAAGTTCATAATTACCAAATTGACAAAGCCAAATAATAACTTTAGCATATATTAAAATTTTTTATGTCTCATTAATTAATTACTGAACTCAATAATGCCATTACTTACAAACTCACCAATCTACAAAGAAAATTATTGCAAAAAGCTAAAAGCATTTCAAGAAACTGCAAATTTCACAACCATCTAACTACAATAGATTAGCAAATCTATATGCTCTCCCAAAATTTTTCATAAATCACCACTCAAATTTAGATTTATTGCTAATGTTACAAATAATTATAAAAGAATATAGATTACATATTTGCAATTATACTTAAAAAATCTGTAATTTAATCCAACCTCTCGTTAACAAACAACACAATTATAGTTGGATTATTTATAATAATGCTCCAGTTCTCAGCAGTTTTAAAAGTTTAACAATCAAGAACTTAACTGCTACGACTTTGAAAACCTTTATACTTCTCTAACCATTAGAAGAAATTTTTACTAGTTTAATGCAACTCCCCACAACTTTTTCCTGACATACTTGACATTCTTTGTATTGAAAGATGGAATACTTATCTGAATTGTGTATTATTTAATAACTACATTAAATACAATATAAAATCTTTCAGCAAGTTAGAGGAATTCCTATGGGAGCAAACAGTTTTCTACCCAAATTTGTACCTATTTCTTTTTACATTTGAATATAAATTCCAACTCATTTTAAATAAAAATGAATTAAAGCTATTTGCTCATACTTTTAGATACATAGATGATATTATAACTTTCAATAATAATTCTACTTTTGAGAAATTCAAAATTTTACCCAAATAGTTTAACACTTAATAAAACGAATACTAATCAAATACTATTGAATTCCTAGACCTGCAAATTATTAAACGCAACAAAATTAAATTATTTGATAAAGAAGGAATTTTCCATTTTCCTACTATTAAACTAATTAATTGGAACTCTAATATCTCTAGAAAAGTAATACAAAAACCGTTTCATAGCCAAATTTATCAGAATAAAATATATGTACTGAAAATGAATGCGATTTAAAGGAAGAAATCATAAAACTAATTAATGTACAAGTTGATAACCAAGTACCACCAAAATTTATTAATTTTATATTAAAAAGGCAGGCCTTGACTTTACTTTATAATTTTTGACTCTTTTTGGATATGATAACATTACCTTAACCTTAACCTGGAGGGTAATGAAGGATATAAAAGAGTAGAGAAATTATTGTAAATTTTTATTGTAATATAAATTTGTAAATATTTGATATACCAATTAAAAAAAATCAAGTTCCTTTAAACTTTTAATATTTCTTTCATTAAATTTAAGTTTTATTTAACTTCCTAAAGGAATTTTTGAGAAATTTCTGGGAATTTTTAGAGGTTTTTTAAGGACTTTTCATTTAAAAAATTTTTGGAAATTTTTTACTACTTTAAAACTTTAATATTAAAACATTTCAGTTTTTTTTAATTACCTTAATTTTTTTTTTGCAATTTTCACAAAAAATATCTTTTTTTCACTTAATTTTTTTTTTAACAATTTTCACAATTTTTCAACAGAACACACATTTTAATTACAAACAGTTTACATTTTTTTTCACATACCACTTCACTTTAATTTCCTTCAAGCAAACATACAGCTCTTGATTAGCTCAGTTACTTAACTCCCTAAATAATTGATATTACTACCTTTAGGATTTTTAATTTAATTTAATTTAATTAATATTAATATTTACAAAAGATTTTTTACTATAACAGGGATGGCAGCTTGACACTCAACTTTACCTACGTGAGCGCCATCTATATAATTTGAGGAACACACTTACTTCTCTTTCACAACCCTTTTGCAGACCCCAACACTCATATAGTAGGTAAGTTGGAATTGAAACTTACTATTTACTTGCTTTAAGTATTTTTTTTAAATTTTTTATGTAGTATCTAAGTATTTTCTAAATATGAAATTATATTTTTTTTAAATATATATTTATTTTAAAAATTTTGAATTAGTTCTTTTTGTTTCTTTTTGTTCTTATTTCTTTTCTTATTGGTTTATATGGATTATGTATAGTTCTTTTATAGTTTCTTTCTATTGATATGCATATTCGTGTAGGGGAAGTTTCTGTAGACAAGGATTTCTAAAATACATTGGTTTCTAGATTTTTTTTTTATTATTTTATAAAAAATATTTTTTTAAAAAAATTTAATTTTTTAAGAAAAAGTTTCATTCTTGACTTTACTTGCTTGTTTCTCAAAAGAATTTTATTTAATATTTTCCTTTTTGAACTTTAATTCTTAAATGTTATTACTTAAATGTAAATTTCTAAGGATACCACTTTATTGGAATTACTTTTGGTTTTGACTTTTACCCTTGCCTGCATGAGTGACGAAACACGAATTGAATGATTGGAGAGTTAGGTTTGGAGGCAGCTTCCCCTTGATAAGTCTGTCTCCTGCCTACTCTACGACCATTCACATATGCATTTTTTAAAAAAATTGTTTAATTTGGTTTTAATTTATTAAATTAGTAGATTTGTTTTCATGGATAGATTTTGCACTTGATTTGCTTATGCTTCTGAATTTAAATGATATTGTAGATTAGTTCGAGAATTAAATCTTTTACATGTTTGCATATTTTAAATTATTTTTAAATTATTTGGCTTTTTTTTCCTTTTTTTAGAATTTAAATTTGCTTTTTTACTTTTTTACTTTTTATACGTATTTGTTAAGAATTTAAATTTGTTTTAAATTTAAATTTCGTTCCTTGCAGCAATGGCGCAAAGAATAAATTAAATATGTATTTAAATTTAATTTCTTTAATTAAACTCAATTTATTCTTATGAAACAATATAATTTAAAGTTTATATATGTGATGATATTTTTAAAACGATTGATTAAATTAAATTCTATTAATATTGCTTAAATATGTGTTGGCGATTCTCTACCTAAATTGCATCCCTGTTCCTAAATTTTGGCGATCTTTCTTAGAAAAATATACTGTTGGCGCCCCCAAATCGCAACTCATAATCTTCAATACAAAGTACTTAGAACTCCTGATGAGAAATAGGTCCTCGATTTCATTATATCGTAGGAGGTTCGGCGACATATTAAATTGGGCTTCTGCTCAAGTTATTCTTTTCGCCATTAGGTTAAAAAGTTAGGATTCATGCATATCATGGACAAGGAGGCGATTGAAAACCGTATCAAATCTGTGTGTTATCACAGAAATCTGGAAGTTACCTGCGATAACTTAGAAAAACTTAAGCAACTTATGCTTTCTGAGTTTCATGCTTATCAAAATTCATTTAATCCAAATAATGCGACTGAAGTTCACTTAGCCCACGTCAATGCTATGGAAAAGGATATACAAATCTTAGAATTATACATTAATGAAATGAAACAAAAAGAAACCCTAAATAATCCAACAGAGAGGAAACAAATCAATCTGATATTACTGCTAGTCAAAAATCTAGAATCAAAAAGAAAACCACAATAGATAAAGAAGGATACATAACCCCTAGA